CTCAAGAGGCACTGGCTTCAGCACAGGGGTTTGCAGGGACCCGGTTTGGCAGAAGCCCCCCTGCCTTCACCCTCTGCTCCAGCCCAGGTGACTTTTAGGGCGTAGCTCCGCACTAACTCAATCAGGGCTGTTTCAGGAGGGCGGGGTACCAGGTGCTGGGCTGCACTGGGGAGCAGCGGCAGACCAGTTCCCCACTGTGAACGGGTCGGACTCATTGGGGAGACAGCTGTGATGACCCTGTCATCAGATCGCAGGCATAAAACATGGAGGGGAGAATCCCACGGCTCCCGGAGAAGCTTCCTGAGTCTGTGTCTGATCAAAGAGCCCATTTTTCTACCACATGCAGCAAGGCCAGAGAGACCTTCAACCCAGACACAAATTCTAGGGGCTGTGCATTCTCCCTCCAGATAGGCAGCTCAAGAAATGGCAATTGGAAGCACTTCTTTGACACTAATGACCTCATTTCTTTCCCGAGGCTCCTTGGGGGCACAGTGAGCTCCATGTCAACCGCCAGGCCAGCAGTTCAAACACACCAGCCGTTCTCCACAAGAAAGATGAGGCTGTCTGCTCCCACAAAGACTTACACGCTTGGAAACCCAGAGGGGCAGCTCCACTCTGTCCTATTGGCTAATATGAGCTAGAAGTAACCTGACAGCCCTCCCCCCAAACCCACAAAAAACAAAAACCTCCCACAGAAAAACAACCAAAACTCCCTGTGGTTGGGTCAGTTGGACAGGGCAGCCCCTGTGGGTTTCTAAGACTATAAATCTTTCTGGGAGTAGAAAGCCTTGTCTCGCTCTCCAGAGTGTTGGTAGGGGTTCAAACTGTTGACCTCATGGTCAACAGTCCAGCATGGAACCCACTACACCACCAGTCCTGGCCCTGAAGCCATGCTCAATTGCCAGGGACCTCTCCTCTGTCCATGCTGCTGGTTATGTGGCTGAGTGTCCTCAGGGTTCATTATACCTTCAGTTACAGCAGAGCTATCCTCCACACTTGGATGGGTCCCCGGGGGCAGCTGTCCGGGCAGACCCTAGTCTCTTGGGTATCAGAGACGGGAGGGGGATGGGAGATGCAAAACAGCAGGGCTAGAGGTCGGAGACCCCAAGGGGCAGTTCACCTGCAGCCTGCAGGGTCCCCAGGAGCTGGCATCCACATCAGGACAGTGGGTGCACAGGGACACTTGTCCAGGGGTCTGTCTCTCTCTGCACATTGTTGGGTTCTAGGGCAGTGGGATCTAGTGGAGCGGAGCCCAGTCTGTATGGTCGGCTCCAATGGTTTTTCTGGCCAATGAGCTGTGGGCAGAGGTCACAGGGCCCTTCCTGGGAAGAAACACCAAGGAGCCAGTGCTTGGACCCCTTGTGATTGCTTCCCTCCTGTGGAGATGATTGGAAGTCCAGGTTGTGCATCCCAAATGACTACTGAGGGCACCTCCCTGATGCCGTGTGCTGGACTAGTAGCCTGAGTGAGAAAGAGGCTTTGCGGGCATCAGTGCACTGGGACCTTGGGGCTCACTTGGTATTGGGGTATAGACTGACCGGTATGTCTTTTAACCAGGTGAGTAGAGTACAGCTCAGGCAGGGCCAGTGACTCACTGAAGGCCACGGTCCCTCAGAGCAGCTTTACTCAGCGGGGTGTAAAGGTGGACATGACCCCCAGCAGGGAGATGAACCAAGCCAATGTGCGCTGCGCATGGGAACCCTGGTGGTGCCGTGGTGACGGTGTTTGGGTGCTAACCGACCGAAAGGTCAGTGGTTTGAATCTGTCAGCTGCTCCATGAGCCAAGGATGTGCCTGTCGGCTTCGGTAAAGATCACTTTGCAGGATAACACAGCCCCACACGGACAGGGCCTTAGAACCGGCGAGTGGCCGTCTCAGGTGTTACTAGCGGGCCCCTCTGCCAGGGTCCAGAAGAGTGAGGACAGCTGAAGATGCATGCCAACCGTCGTCCCAGTGGACCCTGAGCTCTGAAGACCCAGACAGTGCCCGACTGCCACCACGAACTGCTCTGAGGGGCATCCCGGTGGGCAGTCCTGGATGGAGTGGGAGAAAAGGGGAGGCGATCCAAAACCAGGCAAACAACCAGGCTTATTAGTCAGACAGAGACTGGTGGAACCCTCATGACTTTGACCTCAGTCACCCTTCAGGTCTGGAAATGAACGCACCCTCTCAGCTCAACTGTCAACCACACCAGCCACGGACAGGCCCACGTGGGGAGCAGTAACACTGGGCACGCACACGGAGTAACGTGCACTTAGAATCATCCCCCATCTGAGATCAAAAGGGCAGTATCCACCCAAGGGCAAAATTCAGAAGGGCCAGGAAACGGCAGAAATGCCAACAGGAGACACAGGGAAGCAACAGAATGAAAGGCGAGTGCAATCAATTACATGGAATCCGGTGCACGTGAGTGGTTGGAGGGGAGACTGAGCTTCTCTCTGAAAAGTAGTGTTTTCTTTAAAGATAGCCTAGAAGAGCCTCTGGGGAGCTGCACACGTCGCCATGGTTGCACCCGACAACGGGTGTTCCTACGACGGTAGTACTCTGCCATAAAGAGAACGAAGCTGGCACAGGTGCTCTAGCGTCTAGACCGTCTCACAAAGATCACCAGAGAGAGCAACTGCACAGACGAATGCGCGCTGAGCAGGGGTTCTGGGGTGGGTGGGCCGGTGGGGAGAGGGACTCAGTGCTGTCAGTGGTGCCGGGAGAGTTTGGAGACGGACAGAGGGGATAACTGCACGACGGGTGACCATCACCA